CTCCCTTTCTCCTCAGCATGGCTGACTCAGGAATTCTGGGAGTTGAAGTCCATGAGTCATAAAAGAGCCAAGGTTGCCTACCCCTGGGATAGGGGAAGAGATGGTGCCTAGGGCAGGAATCCCAAAACCTGTGGGCCATGGCCCACTAGTGGTCTGTGGCCTATTTGCAACCGGGCTGTGTGAGTGGCTGGTTGGCGTACGCGCATGAGTGCGCGCATACACAGCCCCACTGACGCGACTGTCACGGGCACTTGGGGCCTCATTTGTGCAAGCATCACGGGCCCTTGACGCCTCAATCACACGAGCGTTGCGGGTGCTCAGGACCCCACTTTCTTGAGCGTCACGGGCGCTCAGGGCCCCCATCGTGCGCGAGCCTCATGCGTCATAGGCGCTTAGAGTCTCAATCACACGAACATTGCAGGTACTCATGGGCCCACCCTGCGCGAGCGCTTGGGGCCTCACTCGTGCGAGCGTCACGGGTGCTCTCTGTCCCTCTCGCGAGAGCAACAGGTGCTCGTGCATGTGCGCGTAAGTGCCTGCCCCACCCAGAAAACTATCCCCTCTTTCCCCCCTCCTCGCCCTCCGAGCCGCCAACCCAAAATGTGGGGGAACTCTGGCCTAGGGAACGATCAGACGGCAAGATGGGGAGCCCACAACTGCATAACATACGGAGAAATAGGCTCAGGAGGGACCACCCCTCCCAAGTTCTTAGGCTGTAAAAGAAATGGCGGGAAATTTATACTTCCAGATTTACAAGATTCTGTTAATGTAACCTTACCATATCGGTAGTCCTCGATTTACAATCATCAGTTTAATAACCATCCGAAGTTACAACAGCAATGAAAAAAGTGACTTATGACCGGTTTTCTTACTTAGACCATTGCCCTGGTTGCTTGGCAACCGGCATGTGTGTACGATTGCACTGTTGTGGGGTCCTGTGATCACCGTTTGTGGCCTTCCCAGCTGGCTTCTAACTGCTTAAAATTATGACGGGTCACCCCCCCACACACACACACACCAAATTTTGAAATTACAACAGCTGCACCCAGGCACCCTGTGGTTACATGATTGAATTTGGGCGCCTGGCCAACAGGCTCCCCTTTATGGCTGTTTACAGTAGCCTGTCCCGTTTCCAGGGTATACTTTTGATTTCTGCCAAAAAAATGCCCCTTGGGTCAACGTCAATGGGGGAAGCCAGGTTCTCTTTAACGATCATGGTGATTCACTTAACAACCATGGCAAAAAAGGTCATGAAATTGGGCACAACTCAGATAACAACTGTGTTGCTTAGCAACGGAAATAATAGGATAGGATAGAATAGAATACAATAGAATACAATAGAATAGAACTTTATTTAGAATAGAATAGAATAGAATAGAATAGAATAGAATAGAATAATAGAATAGAATAGAATAGAATAGAATAGAATAGAATAGAATAGAATAGAATGAAATAATATGAATAGAATATAATAGAATAGAATAAAATAATATGAATAGAATAGAATAGAATAGAATAGAATGAAATAATATGAATAGAATAGAATGATCTGACCATGATCTGTCATGGTCAGACCATTCTCTCCTAAGGTTGGTCTTCCGGACCGCTCCCCCTCGCCGCAGGGAGACGGAACCGCCTAGATGGTTCCGTCCCAGGCGACTGATGGACCCTGAGAGGTTCCTGATGGAGCTTGGGCCATATCCGGAGGATCTAGTCCACGACTCGGCGGAAAATCAGGCGGCGGCCTGGGAGACAACTGCCGCCGCAGCATTGG